TTCAGAAATTCAGAAATTCAGAAGTCCAAAAATTCAGAAATTCAGAAATTCAGAAATTCAGAAATTCAGAAATTCAGAAATTCAGAAATTCAGAAATTCAGAAATTCAGAAATTCAGAAATTCAGAAATTCAAAAAAATTCAGAAATTCAGAAATTCAGAAATTCAGAAATTCAGAAATTCAGAAATTCAGAAATTCAGAAATTCAGAAATTCAGAAATTCAGAAATTCAGAAATTCAGAAATTCAGAAATTCAGAAATTCAGAAATTCAGAAATTCAGAAATTCAGAAATTCAGAAATTCAGAAATTCAGAAATTCAGAAATTCAGAAATTCAGAAATTCAGAAATTCAGAAATTCAGAAATTCAGAAATTCAGAAATTCAGAAATTCAGAAATTCAGAAATTCAGAAATTCAGAAATTCAGAAATTCAGAAATTCAGAAATTCAGAAATTCAGAAATTCAGAAATTCAGAAATTCAGAAATTCAGAAATTCAGAAATTCAGAAATTCAGAAATTCAGAAATTCAGAAATTCAGAAATTCAGAAATTCAGAAAGAAATTCAGAAATTCAGAAATTCAGAAATTCAGAAATTCAGAAATTCAGAAATTCAGAAATTCAGAAGACGCGCAATATCAAAAATTTCAAAAAACCTACAGTAACCAAATCCAATTGGCTCTAGTGTCAACTGATTGACGAGTGTGTCACACTCGTCACCAATGAATCCACGTGGACAACGACAGAGATGTGTTCCAGAAGCTTCGTAGCAGATTCCACGGAATCCGCACGATTTGGAGCACATATGGAGCTCCGTTCGAACACTTATAATTGCCATCTTAGCTGGAAGTTTCTTTTGGAGGTAATTTGGAGTAATTAAGGGCAAGGGTAATTTAGTGTAGAAAAATGGGAAATCCTATTTTCTAGAAATTCTATGAAAATAATATTTTGCTGATAATTTCTAATTTTCTTCGAATTTTTTTTAAAGAGAGCTTTCAGACATTCTGAAGAGTGTTCTCTTGAAATTCAAAAAAAAAGAACGACCTTTTTTCTCAAAAAGGAACTAGACAAATTTGCTATAATTCATCAATCACATGTTGAAAAGTGAGTGGCACACCTGCCAATTTTTGGATTTTCTCGGAATTTTTTCGGTCAGAAAAGGTTCAGGCGATTTTATGGAGGGAATTTTCAAAACTTGTGGAATGACAGGCCCGCCGGGCCGGGCCTTTCTTTTATTGGACTAAAGAGATATTAATGTTGCTTGAATTTCTCAACATCAGTGAATATATGTTTCAGAGTGAATACTCTTCCAGTCATCTGAAAAAAATGTTTTCTGGAAAAGCTGAAAATTGAGAAAAAATATATAGGAAAAAGAGCGAAACTGATAATATCAATGTTAAACGTAGAAAGTAGAAAGAGAACTGTGTAACATAGAGAACTCCCATGAGGGGTTGAACTCATGACAAGCAGCTCAGGGGTACAGCGCCGCTACCGGCTGAGCTACGGGGGCGCGAAAGCGCCTGACGACCGATGATCTACATAAGCGCGGCGCGATTTCGGCCCCCGAACTGCCCCCGAAATTTTTGCTGTCTCGCCTCCTTTAAATCAAATCTGAGCAAATTTGGGCATGTTTGGGCTCATTTTGAAGTTTGTAAAATGAGAAATTGTGATTTTTTAAACTTTTTCACTTTGAAATGAGTACAGGAGCATCAAAATGAGCCCAAACACTTGCCTCTTGTTTATTCTTTGCAAAGAAAAAAACAACTTACCAATAAACCATTTAAAAAATAGCTTGTGGTATTCAGAAAAATAATAAATAGAACATTTCTAAATCACAGGAATTCATAGAGAATAATATAGAAAATAGTCTGGAAAATCAATAGGAGACATCTGCACACGACGTCTTTTCAAAACACAAATGGTACTAGTGACTGTTTGAAAGGGAAGACGAGAGAATTGGAGATTTAGAGAAACCAAGAGAGAGAGAGCAGGGGAAATGAAGAGAGTTCTGGAGAAAAATGATGCAAGTACAAAGGTCATAAAAAAGAGAGATGACAGGCCGGTCGGTGGCGAACACTTTTTATTTGTGGGAAAAATCGATTTTCATGTCATGTTTGGGCTCATTTTGATGATCTCGTGCTTGTTTAGAATTTGACAACTGTGAAATTTGAAATGTTTCATAGCTTCAAATCAAGCCCAAACACGTCTTGATTTTCTGGGAATTTGTATTGCTATCTTTTCAATTTTTTTTGGAATCGTGTCATACTTAATTATTTTTTGGAAGTGTTAATATGATAACTGTAAGATAGCTTCAAGAACTTTATTGCTTTCTTTTTGAATCACGACAATAACGAAACTGTTTCTGATCTAGCTGAAAATCAAGAAAATAAATATGAGAAACTTATAAGAAGTAGTGAATTTCAAAATTTTCAATTCTCGGAGGAAAAATCAAAAATGAATCAAATTTCTGTAATTTATCACAGAAAAATTTCAACTTCTGATAAATAGCATAATCGCTGGGTTTTTTATCAGAAATATTTTATTTCAACGTAATCACGGGAAATATGGTATTAATTACATTATTTTTGCTGATTTTCAGTTTTTTTAATTTTTATGGTTTTTAGTTGGCTTTCAGAAAAGGAACACTTCAATTTTTGCAAAAATATACGTGGTTCACAGAAATATAACGTTTCAATTTCTGGGATTTTTCCCAGAATTCGAACGGTTCGAGTTCTGGGATTTTGGGGATATTCACGTGATTCACAGAATTCGAGTTCTGGGATTTTGGGGATTTTCACGTGATTCACAGAATTCGAGTTCTGGGATTTTGGGGATTTTCACGTGATTCACAGAATTCGAACGGTTCGAGTTCTGGGATTCCAAAAAAAGAGAAACGAATGTGAAAAAGGGGGCATAAAAATTATAATGATGGGAGATAAAAACAAAAGAAACATGAAGAAGTGTGCTAGTTTTCCATTATCATGTCATCCGTAACAACTGGATTCGGTGGCATTCTTCCAGCATTGAATCCTTGAGATTTCAAATATTGCAGAATCGTCGTGTGTTCAGTGTCAAAATCAATGTTTCCGTGAGATATCGTGGTAGATGATGATTTTTCTTTGATAAGTTGCAACGTTCTTAGATAAGCTGCAAAACCAAAGATAATTCAAGTATTCAACTTTACGTACATTTCTTTCCATAGCTGGAAACTGAATCTTCAAAATTGTCCTTGTTGTTTTGCGAGAACATTGATCCTCCATGTTTGAAGAGAGCCAAGCATTTCTCCTGAACACCTTCAATACATGGACGGCGAATATCAGGTTGGAATGTTGATGGATCATAGGTATCCTGAATGATCCAGTTTTTACTTGTATAAATTCACACGCAACATAGATATATATTCACACGCGACATAGATATTGGATTACACGTATCGAGATACGTGCCAAGAGCTGATTGGATTGTTTGTTGATTGGTTTCTGTTGTTCTAGAATTCCTCTGTTCTACAGATTTTTTCTAATATAATATAGACATGCTGTTCAAAAGCAAGATAAAAGATAAAGTAATATTTTCTACGGTTTCTCCTTTGAATACATTGCCGAGGGCATTGAATAAATCACGGATGGATGTTATTATTGACAAAAGCTTCCTGAAAAAAAAGAATTGGAAAGTTGTGAGTTCATATTGAGTCTCTTCAAACATGGAGGATCAATTTTCTCGCAAAACAACAAGGATTGTAGCTGAATAGCATTCTGATGCCTGATTCTATCCCACTCTTCTCCCAAATCATTTTTCTGTATGCGAATGATGAAATATTAGGTTGTTCCGAAAGTCTTTTACATTTTTTGACATTTTTTCAACACAAATTTATTCAACGTATGAAATATTTCAGTGAGTAATATATTCAGTATTATGGTTCATCACAACCTGCCAACGTTTTGCTAGATGATCTAGATCTTTTTTTTTAATTTAAAGGAAAAAGAAAAACTTGTATAAATAAAAGAAACATAATCTTTTTAAAATGAAAATGGACACTTAGAAAGAAGAAACTGGTTTTAATGAACGAAATAGAGATGAGGAATAATATTCTACGCTTTTCATTGCTAATTCTAAAATTCGAAGTATATTTTTGTGTATTAGTCATAGAAAGAGATGAAAAAGACGAGTTTCTTATTGCTAAGTGTTAGTTGTTATAACATGAAATAGATGATAAAAAAAACGATTCATTCTGTTGTTCTTTAAATATTCAAAACAAATTTTTGTAAATTATCAGATTCATTTCAGCATTATCAGAATTTGAATTAATACAGAAATACAGGGGATCCTCTAGAAAAGACCCTGCAGTGCATGCA